ACAGACTGTGTTTTTAGATCTCTATCTGCAAGCACCCGCCATACAGAAAAATGGCGGCGTATTGCTCTGTGGGGGACGGCATTTGCTGCCACCTTTGTGCGTTTCACATCATCTTTGAGCATGCAGGGCCCTTTGTAGCAAGAAGTTACCCAACTGAAATATCTTCTTTACCCGTATTTTAAAAATGGGAATTTCAGCCTCGAAAATGACGAGGTTATGACGTCATTACCTGATTGCTCTCTGCGAATCCAAGACATTTTTTTTGCTTTTAAAAAAGAAGTAACCCCGATCTCAGGCATCACCCTCGGAAATCATCATCAGAAACTGTGTGTGTGGGGGAAAAGAATTTATGGCCTGTGCAATGAAAATTAAACGTGAAAATGCTGATCTATGCTTACTTAAAAAAACTAACTGTAATTTGGTGTGAAATGCTTCCACTATAAACATGAGTGCGCATTTGAAGTGGCAGATATAAAGCAGCAATTTTACAGATTTAATAAAGTCCAGAATTCCAGCCTCAGTGCTGAAAATCTTTTTAAAATTGACAGGACTGGACATTTTACTGGTCAGTGTCAGTCATCCCATTAGGCGACCACAGGGGACCAGTTCCTGAGGGGGTGCTGACTCAGCAAGCCGATTACACATTTTTTTTCATGGGGACGGTGCTTGAGGTCAAGCGTGCCTAAGGTGTCACATCGGCCTTGACTGGTACTGTTACTGGTCCTTTGGCCAGCAGATATGACTGCGGTAAGAATGACAGAAAAACTATGGTGATGTCAAAAGGTCAGAGGTCATGGCTGTGACCTCTTCTACTGTAGGGTTTAGATTAGAAGGCCTCCTTTGTTTTGTTTTGACAAGCTGGATGGTTCCCTGGTCTCCTGCTTCACCCAGGACAATGACTGATACAAAGTTCGAGCTTCTCGGTAACATGGCAGCCATGCGCCCTGGCATCTTTGGGGCACCTTGTGAGCTGCAGGATGATGGGCAGCTGTCCTGCTTGTCGACATGCCCGGTGCGTGTGCCAGTCACCTTTGGCCTTCCGGCTGCGCGTCCTGTGACTTCCAGTGACCTGGCCTGGTACGAGCTTTAGCTTAAAGCAAGCCTTTTGTCAACAGGGAGGTTCTCTAAATCATCAACACTCCTGCTCTCCTTGGCGCGTAACCCGGCCAGGCACGGAATGTTCTACCATCTGGTCCACTCCTCTAGCAGCACAAGTTGTTTCTGTGGCCAATTAAAAACAAAATCCTATTGTTCATTAAGATGATATTTTCTTCCTTTTTTAATGAAACACATTTAATTCTGCAGTATAGGTTTGTGACACTGGGGTCTTACTGGATTATGGATGGAATCTAATAATCTGTTGTATGGGTGGGCAGCCCTGATCCTGGTGTACTGACATCCAGCAGGTTGTCCATCCTACCTGGTCTCTGATGAACCACACCTGATCTCAGACAGACAGTAAATCATAAGGTAGGATAGAAAACGTGCTGGATAGCGGCTCTCCAGGTTCAGGGATACCTACCCCTATTACCGTGTTGACCTGAATATAAGACTTTTTTTTCTCAAAATACGTCCGAACAAGTGGTGTCGTCTTATATCCGGGGTCAGGACAAAACAGCGAATAGATGGCATCAAATACAATATATATAACTTTTTATATGTTCTTGTCAAATAAAATTACTTTTCTTTATGATAGATATATATATCCCATATATATATGGTATATATATAGATATATAACCAGGCTTGTCTTATATTCCGGCCAATAACAGTGTGTTGGAGCAGAGGATTCCAATGCAAGACTGCAGATAATCTGAGCATCAAAATCTTGAAATGAAAGTCAGCTCTACCCCAAAAACAAATACCAACCAGATGCGTTTGATTAATTCCATGTAGTCTAAAAGCATAATGACTGTTTATTTATGAGTTGGCAGGGGAGGTCTGTTATGGTGTGTAGCCAGCTTCTGGATTCCTATTGGCTCTCATGCTGGGCAGTGAGAACCACCTCACCCTCAGTCACATGGGACTTAGCCCAGTCAAGGTGGGGAGTGGGGGTGTGATCCTCTGCGCCATAAAATCAGAGCCCATGGACACTGTCCCAAGAACCTGACAGCCTCAAGAACAAAACAGCACCAGTGATGAGAGACGGCGGCAGGACAGACGGGCCCAGTGCAAACGAAATAATAACTTTGTTTTGCCGGAGATATTTCTATTATGTCGCTACGACCAATGTAGCTGCTTCTGCACTGTGATCGGTCACAGCTTCGCTTCCGTAACACAGGTGCAGCCCCACGACCTGTATGAGTAGCCCTGCACCCTTCAGATCACACCCAGCTGTTTGGTAGGTATTTTATATGAATTAAAGTAAGATTCAACCCAAACTGAATTTCATTTAATCACCACTCCATTTCCCTGCATAGCCAAAGGAGACTGATTTATCTGCACTGACATCATACACAATGTACCAGGTCAATTACCAGGTGTGAATCCAAGCTAGAACCTAGAATTTTTTCAATAATGTTTTACATTATATATATATATATATATATATATATGTGTGTGTGTGTGTGTGTGTATTCTCGAAAATGAAAACACATTACAGTTTGTGTCAAAGCCTGGGAATGCTTGAATATCCACCATGTGACTTTATAACTTCACAAACATGGCTTCTGCAGGAAATCACATGACACGCCCTCCCAGCAGGGTAATTACCTGACACGCCCTCCCAGCGAGGTAGTCACCTGACATGCCCTCCCAGCGGGGTAATCACCTGACACGCCCTCCCAGCGGGGTAATCGCCTAAGATGCCTCCCAGCTCTTCTGCAGCATTTCCCAGAGTTGTTGGTCTGAGGTCTGTAGCCTGGCCAGGTTAGGTCATTAGTTTGAATTGTCCTTCACTTTCCTTCTTCTCTAGTTAGTTCTTACAGTCTTGTTTTTGGGTCATTGTCTTGCGGACAAATGAGGAATTACCCAGTCAGTTATAATCATGATAGAATGGAATACCTTTGAAGTATGCTGCGATAGCGATGCTGGATGCAAATGCTATGGTTTTGGTAAAGACCAACACCTCAGTCATCAGCAAAGAAATCCCACTGAATACAGCACTGGTAATTATGGTTTCCATAATCATCCAAACAGGTGACTCATGCTGTATACTGTAATGTTCTAATTTATATTGGGAGATTTTTGAGAGTATTTATTTCTTATGGTACTATGTGGTGTGTCTACTCCCTGCCTGTGGGAGGCACTGAGTGATGCACGGTAGGTAATCAAGGGCATAAAGAGTAGCATTGAGTTGTACGTATGCTGGTCTGTGAGATTAATCCATTTAATTAAAACGCACCACATTATGAGAAGAACTGATAAATGATGAAGGAGTGAGAATCACATGAGACATCCGACTTCAAGCCAGCTTTCTGACACTCCCACCCTAACCCCCTGACCCCCTGCTGGACAGCACATGGCTGCGGGTGTCGAGACTCCACTGGAGGAGGGGGACGCGCTGCCACGGGGCACCGGGGGCTGGAAGTGCAGTGTCAGGAGCTTGTCAGTCCAGGGCTGAGTACAGGCTGATTTTGTGCCCTCGAGTCTCACTGACAAGACGGGCCTCCAGAGGCAGGAGGCCACAGAACGAGACGAGGAGACTGTAAACGCGCAAAATGGAGGAAGGGCAGTGGGTGACGAAAGAAGAAACTGCGTCCAGATACTGGTCCTAGAGATTAAATTCACCGAAATCTCTTTTTGTTGTCTAGGCATGATTCCTCAAAACCCCCTCTGTAATCTTAGCCAGACCCACACAAGGACATAACTGGGCCCCAGAAAAATTCTACCCCCGGTAGCATCTCTCAAGGGGCCTCCCAGTGCCTGGGCTCCTGAAAGTCTTCCCCTTTCTCCCCCCCCCCCATATGGATAAACATGACTGTAAGCTTAAACTGGGATCCTCAATTCTGGTCTTGAAGGGCCAGACTGCAACTATCCCTCTGCCCCTGCATATAATTCATCACTCCTTTTCAGCTACTAAAGCTGAATCACTTATTTCAGCGTTCTCCGGCGGACCTTTCTGAAGCACAACAGGTCTGTTGTCATTGGCTCAGAAGCTAATGTTATCGTAGGGACACATGTGATAAAAGTGTAATAATTACCTCAGATTACAACATGGAGCCCGATGAGCGAATTTCTCTCTGTCTTTATTTTGGGCAATTTCCATGTGTAACTGCTTCACTGATAGGCCCACAGGATTAATTAGACTTACTCTCTGCTAATTAAAGTGAATGACATAGTGAGTATATGAGAAAATACGAGTTATCAGAGTTAGTTCAGGAATATAGACCCCAAACTCCAATAAATCCATAACGTGAGCCGTTCATCATGCCTAAATTATTTGACCTCTTTGTCGTTGACTTGGGAACTATTTGTAGAGGATAAATATAAATCCTATTATAACTTCCACCGAATTACTTCGTAATACAAACACCCAACAGGTACTTAAATCTATGTTATTTGCATTATAAGACCTTTCACATTTTTCTAAGGCTCAGGTGCAAATTAAGATCGACTACGTGACTCTGAAAAGATAGTCATTTCGATGCGCTCTGCTCCGAGGAAACATTTATAGATTGGACCGAAGGGAAATCGGAAATAGATCTTTGTAACCTCTTAAGAATAATTACTTTTTAATGATTGCATTCTCACCGTAAAGGGAGTGAGAAAAACAAGCACTTTCATACTTGGGAGAAAATATGTCCATGAACTAGACTCCAATTAAATGCATATATGGGAATATGATTTTAATTTCCAGGGAAAGTCATTGCAAGTGCATAGATAACTAAGCTCCCTGACAATTACTAATCATAATAACTTATATAGAGGGTGCTTAGAGAGACTGTGCTGCATGGCATAATCAAACGACTGTAAAACAAAATCTTTCTGCACCTCCGCTGGTGACATCACATCTTGATCTCGAACGATCCTCGGAATCTGCTCTTCCAACTCCCAGTCCCTTAAGGCCGCCGCTCCAACCTGCCGCATATTATCCCGTCCGTCTGAGCGAGGTTGCGTTTAAAAGTCTCCACGTCGCACGGCCACCGCGTGCAGCGTCTGCCTGCGCTTCCCGCGTGCATGCGCGCACGCCAGTGAGTCAGCTTGAGAAGGGAGAGCGCGAGAGAAAAGAGAAAGAGAGAGAGAGGGAAGGTAGCGGGCGCGAGGGGAGAGCGGAGGAGCGCAAGCGAGCGAGCGACACAGCGCTATGAAATTCTTCTGTGCGTTTAGCCTGCTGCTGCTCTTCCCAGCGCTGAGCCTCAACAGCAGGTGAGTGGGGCGAAAAGAGAGCGCTTCTTATTCTGCCTTACAAAGTCTCCTGGGGAGGGACGACGTGAAAAAACTGCCGAGTTAAACGATAGAAAGACTACTCTTCTTCGGCCACGGGTTGAGTCAGTCAGACCGAGTCGCTTCTGCTCTTCGCGCCACGGCGGGCGAGCGGGGCTGCGGCGGAGAAAGACGCGCTGTTATCGTTAACTTTTTTTTGTTCCTCTTTTCTGGCCGTTGCGGGTGTCGCGCCGCGGCTAGACTCCCGGACTGAGGCGGTTCCAAAGGATCCGAGCCGCGGAGAGGTGACAGGGTGAGGTGACGGGATGATAAATAAATAACGCACCCGTGCACGCGAGAAGAGCTCACGTGCCAGTGGTGCTGAATGAGCGCCTTTGTCCCTTGCAGGAACAAAAAAAATGAGACCACGCCGGGTGGTGCTTTCTAGGTACAGTGATGCCGTAATAACAAAAGACCAGGGAAACAATTCCTGAAAGAGTGAGAGGGAGGGTGCCCTCCGCCCTATGCTTCACCCACTTTGCGGAATCTTGCCCGGCCCGTTTGCTAGGGTCCCGGCTGCTTTGGCAGGGGGGTCTCTCCGCACAGAACCTCATTGTATGGGATGCAGAAGCGCATTTTCCAGCTGCTGCCGCGCTTTGCATCAGAAAAGGCAGCCTCGATCACGGCCAGTTCGCGTGTGCACTGATGTCTGATCTTCCGTCGCCGCAGCTGGACCGCGATGCCCAAGTCTGCCCTGCTCCGATCGGTTCACTGGTGTCTGGCGGAGCGCAGCCCTACTACTGATACGTTTAAAAAGTGTGCTTTCCCTACCCTTGAAGCCAGCCGACAACAATCGGTGGTTGAACCCAGGTTTAACGTGTGTGAGACAGCGCCCCGATCTGTAGCATAGCTGCAGAGTACTTGCCGGGAGCCAGGCTGCGTGATCCGAGACGGCAGAAGAGGACAACCCCCTCTTTCGCTTTTATGGTGCACCGAAATCCCTACAGCAGTTAAGACAAAGATACATTAAAATCTTCGCAGCGTGGTATACAGTATTACTGCCTTAGTAATGTGGGAATATAGTCTAATAAAATCTAACTTTAAATGTGACACCGGGGTTTTCAGCACTGCATTGAGGGTGCTTGTAATTATTAAACTTCACACTGTAGTTTATACGTTGCACATATTCGATCAGACGCGAAAATCAGATTTTAAATAGATAGATCGACAATAATGAATAAAGGGAAACATATCCACAGATACAGATGAACTGTTATATGGGACATCCTGGCAGAAATGTTTTCGCAAAGCCCGTGATTGACAGGGCTTTACTTTTGTCTTTTGTCACTAAGTGCTCGATGAATGACATTCGCAGATAGAACACCATCTGTAACATCGTTTCTGGGACATGGTGATTAAAATTACGCAAATTAGTGCCTGTTTGATATGTGTTCTGTTCCATCTGTAGTATGTGATTTGTTTCCGTGACTTGGAATAGCTGCTAACTTAAAACTTTGAGAAAGAGATTTGTTAGAGTAATCATTCCATCGCGTTTTAATGATAACTCTTAATGACTGTTAAAATCGGTAGAGTACATTTTGCGGAATGGATGGTTAGATATTATTGGTGAAACAATAAAGAGAAATCGATATGCATCATGATGCAAAATGTTCTGCGTATAGAAAATACAAGGTGGTGTATAGGCAGTAACATGATTTTAAGATGCAGATCTGTCTGCTCCTAAGAAAGGATTTAATTCTAATCTTGTACACATTCTCGTTTGGGTAATTTCTTGAGTGCAGACAGGTACTGCATTTATATTGAACTGGTAAAATTCAGGCGATAACTTGAAATTAAAGGTGAAAAGAGGATAACGAGAAAGGAGAAGGCGTTAATTAAAAAAACAATTAGTTACGGTGTGGACTCCGTCCAGTGATGTCCGCTTCACACATTCCGTTTGGCATTTTTTTTCTTTAATTATAGTGCCAAATAAGAACAGACCCAAGCACATACAGTATGAGAACTTTGATTCGGCTTGGATTTATTTGTTTTTCTCATTACAATCAGAAATCTTGACCTGAGCGCTTACTGTGTTTATGGAAATAACTACCATATGGGTATCGAAAGTGACTAGTCCAGATTTCAGATATGCTAGAATTGTGATTTAGGATCCAAATTCAGTTAGACAACAACAAAATAGGAAAATGTGCAAATCCTGGCTAATTCCAAGATAAGTGTTCCATTCGTTACCCTAAGCCAAAAAGTATTGGTTTTTTGACTTGCATATTATTATATATACTATATAATTTACTTGTTGTATAGGTTATATTCTCTAAATATAGTACAATATGTTTTTGGAAATCTTCTCTTCCAATCACTTGTTGCAATGTAATGCTTTGCTTTATAAAACTCTCAACTGTATGGTGGCAAAGACATGGACTAAACTATTTTAGTGTATCTTGCTATAAATGCTTTCTAAGTAATTCAATAGATTGTTCAATTTGCAATGGTACTGCAGGGATGGTTGTACACATCAAGAAAAATGGTTATGTTCGTGAATGTGTCAGATGCATATGCATGCTGGGTAAGAGGGTGACAGGGATGTGGGTCTTCAGCAGGCATAGAGTCCGGCTGGGGCAGGCAGCTGCTGAAAACCCTGCATCCAGGTGATATTCTGAGCCAGGTGGCACTATTGGGTGAAGTGCCACTGCTGGATCAGTACTCTCAGAGCCTTCAGCCGGCTCCTTCCTCACTGCTGCCCTTGCAGTCTCAGTGTCTCTCAGTGTTTCTTTTCTTTCATGACCACATTTTCATTTTATCAGCCTCACTAGCTAATAATAAGTCCCTGATGGTAACAGAAATGCCCAAAGGCGCAACCCAGAAAACATTAAAAAAGATCGCAAGGGAGGGCTTGAGCTGTGAACAAAGTCAGATGATGAATAATTCAGAGGCGCATAAGAACATCACTTAAAACCTTGATAACCAAGCAGGGTGAGCTATCCAGTGTGCAGTTACTGATTTGTTTTATTTTGTGCTGATTTCCTGTAGTGGAAACTATAAAATGAGGCTCCTCCTTAAATCCTGAAGCCAGTTTGCTCTCTGTCAGACTGTGGTGGATGGACTGACACTAGAGGGCGTTCTCAACAGCATTGCAGCTTGATTGCTGACAAGTCATGGTAGACGAGAAAGTTTGAGATGTGGAACTGAGTGGGGAGGTGGGGGGTGTGCGCCCTTCAGCCAGTCAGGCTGCGGTGCTGTTCAGTCGTCTTTATGCTCTGCCATAGTGCCTTACCGTTTCCCCTCAGAAATTTTATGTGAGCCCTATTTTCTTTCTGGCCAGCTGTGTCAAAACTGATCTGCCCATAGTAGAAACCTGTACAACCAAAACAACGCTCTATATGATTTGGTTATTTTTATCACCCGAGTACCTTGTCTGTTATCTGAACACAAGTCCTTACTCTTCTGGGCTGACATCCTGCTCTGTGTATGTGTGTGTGTGTGTGTGTGTGTGTGTGTGTGGTGACTGGTGAGTGGAGCACCCAGTACCAGCCACACTTCAGGATTAGTGTGATAAGCACCATTGCTGACTGCTGGGGCATTATCTTATTGGCAGCTGTGCTCATAATGTTATTGTTTATTTATATGCGCGGGTGCGCTGTGACAAGTCCTCAAAACCTTTTTTTACATGTAGGAATTGTTCTCAATGTTGTGTCCTTAGTGTTGTATTTATTTTTCCATTCCTTTTCAGTCATCACGTAAGACTGTGATGGATTTGTATTTACAGGAGAAAAAATGTACTTGATCATATCACTGGCCTGTAAATATGCCCTTGGTGTTACCTGGTTCGCAGGTATCATCTGTAACACATGAGAGGTCTTCTCTTTCATGAAGACAATGTTCTGCTGGTCGCCTGGTTAGGGCTGCAGTAGCCAACCTATATACCTGACTTACTGCAAATCTGGTCAAGGCAGCATTGTCTTATGGAGATGTATATCCTCAGGAGCATATACAGTTTAAGGTAGCAGTGGGGTTTCATACATTGTTACGAATGATGAACTGACTCTGTCCCTTTGTGTCTTGGAATAAATGTGTGCAGAGTTGCTGTGATGGGACAAGGTGAATTCGCTGAACATATAGGACTATAGCTATAAATATGGCAGGATTGTACTCCACACTCCATTATGGTAATTCCCCCTTAGCAAATGACATCAAAAGTATCTTTAAGAATGAAATGTATTGTTAAGAATCCTAGCTTTTATTTCCATGCATATAAGTGGACTATTGTGACGGAGTGTGCAGAGATCCTTTAAAGTGCTCTTATCAGACTGACTAGAGTAATTTTTGAGTATTATTTTCACAGATGTGTGTTGCACTCATTTATCTAGGGTGCGGGCTATGAAACTACACCTCATCTCTGTAACACTGACATATTGCTGTGTTACAGTGCTCGCTAGTGTCTCTGCACATCGTTTGAAACCAAACTCAGAACTGAAACCAAAAGAAAACTTTGACAACCCTAGAAAACACACCTGATAAAATGTTATGTGAAATCTTGGCCAATAAATGTACAGCTTACAAGGCTGGAAATGGGAAGCTGATTTCACACAAAATTAGGTTTTAGTCATTCCCTTTTCCAAGGGTGTAATCCATAAGACTGAAATATGTCAGTGATATACGGCTTGCAAATTAACACATCTATGTGTGAATAATTGTGAATGATTTATGTGTTGTGGTCCATCTCTGAAGATTTATCTTCTTTTCATCTAATCATGCAATGAATTATATATCTTATCTTATTGGTCAAGAGTGACCCTCCCACTGCATATGCCAGTGATGTCACATGAGCTGTAAGTCACAGTGACCTGAACTTGAAATCCCTTTTCGGCCTCCATATTACCGACACCCCCCCCCCCCCAGGGCATTCATGTGCCACCCTGCACATTTTTCATCCAAATTGCCGTTGTGATGTGATTTGCCTAAGATTTCCAGTCCTTACATCAGAA